CCCCAAAACCCCAAAACCCCAAAACCCCAAAACCCCGAAAATAAAACATTGGGTTGAAAATGAAGGGAGGTTATGGGTTATAGTTCTAATCTTCATCTCTCATTCCTATAACAGGTTGGATAATTATGACTTACTTCTTGATATCTCATTGAGTCTCTTTGTTGGAGAATATACACTTGAAGCTGGAGTAAAGTCTTTTCCTCCTCCTCTAACACTATTATTTCTGAATAATTTGACTAGATCTTTGAAGTCGCTGACTTTTCTTTCAGGGCTTTCTAAAGAATTTTCTTCCTCACTCTGAAGGTTAATGGGCTCAATCTTAAACTCTTCTCGCTTAGGCCTGAAGCTATCTAAATTATCTATAAGTTTGGTATTATATCAGAAAATTGAATTCAGATTAAACAGGAAAGAGATAATAAAAAATTACCTAGACTTTCTTTCGCATCAAATCCAGATCTTCCTCCCATTGTTCCAACTCTCGTTAACTTCTTTGTTGATCCTAAAATTTAATAAAAGAGCATACTCGCAGGACTTGAAGGATCGGTCTCATCATCGTCATAAAAATTGTCTCTGAAGTTGTACTTTTTCTTTGATCTCATAATATTATCTCCATTCAAGTTTAACATATCAGATGACTTATCCTTCATCCTCGGAGAAAACGACTCCTCTCCATGTGGACTCTTTCCTCTCTGAGACTTTTCGTCAAAGTTGTGGACCTTGTTCAGCTTCTTCGTTGTCTATGGTTGGATGTGCAAACTTACCGAACTCGGAGTGAATCCTCTCTCGTAGACCTTCGGGTTGATGGCTCTGACTTCGTTTCCTCTACAAGGTTATGCTAACGCTTACGTTGGCAAGAGTGTGTACTCTTTGTACATCCTTGTCACGAATTGAACTACAATGAAGCTACTACTTACCCACAAGGCCGAATGCAGTCATCGCGTTGGCGGAGATTATGGAAACGATCCATCCCCAAGTGATGGTGGTTCCCCACTTCTCAGGGTCTTTGTATGTAAACAGAGGAATGAGCAAACTCACGACGAAGACCTGGTTCTTCATGCAGATGACGCTATCTTTGGCTTGACTAAACGGCCTACAAAACAGCAAATAAGCAATATGGACTCCATGAATCAGCAATATGTATCCTAATGTTTCGGAGCTGGAGTTGTCGAGTCTGGCTGCACAAAGCATTGCAATGCCAGCTTTGTACATCAGAGACAAGAACGGGTACATCACTGCGTATCTGGAGTCACGCAAACCGCCGAAGTACTCAGCCAAGTATGGGTCTTTACGCATTTCTGGGAAACACACTGCTCAGCTGCAAAAGATCAGCACCAAGACTCCGTAAATGCCACAGAAGATAAGGATCACGATGGAAATGTTTCTGCTCCACTGTTCTTCGTCGGTGTTCCAGTGTTTGCGCAGTTCATACATTGGCAAGAACACCAGCATCATGAACGACAAGTGGATGACTTTGATGAGGAGTCCTGGGAACATCCAGGTTGTGACTTTGCGCATTGGAGCCAAGAGCATGCCTTGGACTTCTTGGTAAATGAACTTTTCGAGCACAAAGTACAGAATCAGGTACAAGATCAAGAAGATCGGGTACACTGCAAGCCAGTTCGTCAGGTTGACAATGGTGCTTTGGCTTCCGAAGCCGAGGTTTCTCATTTGGTAATCGAGCTTATCATAATGGACAGTTCCATAAAAGTATCCATCGAGACCGAGAAACTGGAAGCCGAGGAAGAAGTATCTGATTGCATGCAAGAAAGTCAAAATGATTTCTGGGAAAAAGGAATGAATGAATTGCAGCATTAGTATGATTTGGAATTGTTCTACAAACGTAAAAAGATGATTAGGATACTTGCTCTCTACAATCGATTCAACAATACTCGTTTTACTAGCAATAAAAATGCAAATGCAAATAATAATTACTCAAGTGTGCACACCACTACCAGTTCCCAACATATCACATTCTGTTTTGCTCTCAGAAACATTAAATCCTATAGGTCATTGATAACAAGTGTCTTTTCCCAATCTCGACCCTCCATAACAAATATATCCTTCATCAATATATCCAAACTGTGAACAGCCATCATAGTTAACTGTATTTCCATCCTCTCATTCCTCAGACCCAACCTTAAATCCATCTCCATGCAGTTCAACTCATTTTGTCGGACTTGTAGTATCGTTTCCAACATATCCATGGGGACAGATAACATCGATCTGATACAGACCAGCTCCCACATATTTAGGGTTGTACATATAATAGCTTGGAATTAAAACTTCGGTTTGCCCTGTATAAGACCAACGAAGTTTAAAAACGGCTACATCAGTTCCTTCATAAAAGTCAACCTGAATAAAATAAAACTGATTATCGACCATGTTAACTAGAGGTTAGATCATTAATATTACCTGTTGCTGAAAGATTGCTAAATCCTCCATTGATGATGAGAGAGTTATCTATATAAACAAGACAAGTTTCGTCACATTCTGCATATAAGGTGACTGTTCCAGTTAGAGGGCCTCTTAAAGCCCCAACGTATCTTGCAGTAACATAATCAGCCTGAGTTGGAGTGAGGTTGTCTCCTGATGCCCAACTATTGTCGACAGATGCTTGGACCCCAGAGCTGACTACAGATCCGGTCCAAGTAGTAGTATCCCACCATTCATAAAACAGTCCTCCTCTTTCGTAAAGCATTATATAGAGTGTTATAGGTCCTTCTTGATCTACAGTAAAATCATATGTATAATATCCATTGAGATGATCTTTCATCTGAGATTGAATCTCAGTCTGTAAAACAGTTTGTTGGGATGCAACATCATATCATCCGAATCCGTTGCTTTGAGTTCATTGATTCTCTACTCTGATCCAGAAAAAGTCTCCTCCTACTGTTTTGTTATTCCCTGCAGTATCTACGGCGTACACCTTCACTTCTTGTTTATCAAAAGCAATAGTATGGTTAAATGCATTTCATTTTACAATAGTGTTTGTAGGAGAAGTGTCAACTTCAAGATTTCTTCTTTGTGAATCAAAATTCTTATCTCCATTTGTAAATATTCCAGACTTGTAATCTCTCTTTTTAACACTCTTCTACATGTTAAGATGCATATTTACCTCTTTTGTATGTGACTTACTCTGCTGACAGAGAGCACTATAGAATTATTAAAGATTGATGGTGTATAAGGATGAAGAAAGTCATAAAGATACCCACATGATAACAATTGATAAAACTCATATTAGCCAAAGTAATCTCATTATTTTATTTCAATCCTTACAACTTATTTTGGGGTTTTGGGGTTTTGGGGTTTTGGGGTTTTGGGG